ATATGTACCCTCATCTCAACATTCATATCCACTCGTTCACATCCATCAGAAGAAGAAAATCGCACTTAAAATCGCAGCAAAAATTTGCGAATCTAAAAGGGGCCTTTAGGAATCGAAATTCACCAAATGTGTAGAATTTCTGAAATGGTAATAGTTTAGTTTTACAGGGCGAAATTCAAAAGTTTAATAGTTTTTGCGCGCGAAATTCAAAAGTTAAAACGCATTTTTAGTTCAATGGTCCAAATATCAGAAAATTTGCTCAGTTTTAAGTCCTTCAAATAGCTGCTGAAACTTTCAATTTTTGGTACCAATGCCTTTCACCCATGCTTAATTCATGCCTTTACCCAATCTCGTACCCAGAGCCATCGTTGATGGCTCTGGGTACGAGATTGGCCTTTACCTAATTTGCATTTTGCGATTGTAAAAACTTTATGGACCATTAATAAAACACATAACAATTTTTTCGCCCATGAACTCAAAACGTGTTTCAACTTTTTAAATTTTGCGCGCAAGCTATTTTTCATGCTGCTAAAAAAGACACGCCCTGCTCTGGAAAATTTATCTTTACGAAATTGCTTTGTTTATTCAACATTATAAGTATAAATCAATCAACATTTATATGTATATAAATATAAATCAATCAAACAATCTATATTTATAAAAAATGTCATGACACGAACAGATTTGTGAAATTGAGAGCCGTTTCAAGATTGTCCACTTTTTTTCAGATACAACCTGTAGATATAGATAGTTTATTTCATAAAAAACATTGCAACCAATAGACTGCAACCAATAGACAAGTTCAGAAAATATTAAAATACTATACACTAACTGTCTCTAAAAGGATCTAAGAATATATAATATTATAATATTATATAACATTTGTAAATTCTGAACGCTGATTGGCTAAGAGTCGTGTTGATATAGCTCAATGAAAATTTCTTTCTTTATATCTCTTTGTGCTATATCTAGTATAAAACAAATATAAAGTATTTTTCCGTATTGATATATAATTATATCAACACTCGTGGAATTAAATTTGGAAAACTCGATCCAACCTTAAAAAACTTTTCCGCTTAGTGCCAACCAAGTTGGCGCCGCGTGGAAGTCGCCCCACTCCCAAGTTACAGAACATTGAAAAACTAGTATTAGGTAATAGTAAATAGAGAGTTTGCACTCATTCCCCAAGGATCAACTCAACAAAAGCCATAACGGCCATGTTGGTGTTCCAGACAAAAGAGTCTAAGGGACGGACCATTAGATATTTGAGAAAAAAATATCGTGCACAACAAAGCTATTGAAAAAAAAATTGAGCAAAAACTCGTAATGCAATTGTTTTAAAACATTAAATTGGTGTTTTACGACAATCGAAAAATTTATATCCCCCCCCCCCCGCCCAACTTTCCGGGAAAAATTTTTTTGGTCATCTTTAAAAAAAAAATCGTGCAAAGGAATGGTGCCGCAAAAAAATTCTTGCAAGCATTTGCGGGATGAAAAAAAATTCGTGCACAAAACAATTGCCCAACCACCCCCTCAGATATATAATGGTCCGTCCCTAATTAAAATTCTTTTGAACTGGAACACCAACATGGCGGCTGTGACGTTTGTGCAAATGCTCTATAATGCTGCGATTACACAGTTAACGCAATAATCACAATTACATTAATTCGAAGACTTAAACAAGTATGTGTTTTACCTCTGTGTGTGCATGTGCTGGGGAGGAATCAAAGGTCGGGCATTTTCAGGCTTAGTTGGGAAAATGTCATCTGCACCGGTACACCTATGTTCAAATCGAATCAGTTAGCGAGTAGTAAGCTTGTCTTACTCTCAAAGATAAACAGCGTACTTATTGTTATCACATAAAATAACAGCATTGCAGCATTCTGTTTTAATTTTCTTTAACTGAGCTTTACTATATTACTGACAATCTCGTTCCCGGAGCCTGCGATCCTCGGGAAGGAACGTGAGCCTCTGGGATAATCCGTTGCCGGAAGCCAGGAATCCTGGTTAAGACCGAACTACGCATTCCATATCAACGGCCAATCAAATTCATCCATGAAAGGATTATCCCAGAGCCTCACGTTCCTTCCCGAGGATCGCAGATGTTTGCAAATGTGCAAATAACCACTATTTTACAATAAGCTGTCGGTGTTTGTCTGAACTACCTGAAAATGATATCTCAAACAAGGTAGGTAATATTCGAGTTAAGCCCTTTTTGAGTTAAGCCCGACCACGCCCAAACCGCACCCATTTTCGTTAAAGACTTAAAGGACAATGGCAACGAAAATTTTTATTGGCTATTTCAATCCTGACGACCAAACTATGAAAATATTATCATTTGCATCTCGAACATTTTAGTCTATGAGTAAAATGCATGCAAACTTTGTGTTTCGCCGCTATCTTGGAAAATTTTTTTGAAAAATTATCTTGAAGGTTAATGAACTTTGTGACGTCATTGGATGGGTAACACCAAAACTGCAGGAGAGAATTCTGTTGCGTGCGTGTTATGTTAGCTAAAAATATGTCGTTTTGAGCCTTATAATTGCCAACACTCTTCGCAATCAAACAAGAGAAGTCTACACTATCAGATAAATACATATCGAGCGACTGGGAAAATAAGGATTGGCGCAATTTACAATACATGTAATTGATCATAAAAGATTGCATTAGTATTTGCCTCGTTACCGTCGAATTTCTGTGTTTATTTAACACGGAGTAGGATATATACCATGAGAAATAGTGTTACAAACAAGTTACATACTTGGTAAAACTTTTGTGCCTTTTGTTTTGGCTCAAAATGAACTATGCGTGGTAATGTTTACCCAGTCAATGACGTCAGATAATATATTTTGTGGCATAAATTAGCATACGCGCTTATTTTCAAAATGGCGGACATTAACTGTTGAACTTTTTATCAAATTTTCTCAACAACTAAACGCGACAAACCGGCTAAAATATGAAATTGAATATTCCGTAAGTATACCTAACAGAAGAAAGAAACACAACTTGGAAAGTTCGAGTTAAGCCCCGTGAAAAAGGGGGTAGGTATTTTTCGAGTTCAGCCCTTTTCGAGTTAAGCCCCTGCCTCGCCCTTTTTCGCCGGGGGCTTAACTCAAAGTCAATTAACGATTTAAGCTTTCGAATGCTTAAGCTCCGACATTTGGTGGATGTAAACAAGTGACGCGTGTATATACTCGCAAAAATATTGGCAAATAAGGAGGGAGAATGTAAAATTTCAGTAATTTTAAGAAATATATTTTACTAAGATCTCTATTGCTTTCCCTACAGTTTTATACAGACAATGACATCGTAGAATGAGAGAACTCAATAAGGATTTGTAAACAACAGCTCATTCAAGGCGGCGATTACGGCTTTAAAAAATAAATAATATATAAAAAATAAATAATATATTTTTATAAATGAAAAAGTACGAAAGTTTATTGTTTTGATTTTGATATATTATGTATTCATTGATGTTTTGGAGATCCCCTCAAAATTTAATTTTCTTGATGTGACCCCCCTCTCACATCGCTATTTTCTCTGGTGCCCCCCCCTGCAAACCCCCCCCCCCCTGGTAAAGAACGGTCCCTTAATTATAGTTTCAGATCTGTTAAGGGCCTATTTATATGATCTGGGCTAAGCAGCATGCAACCTCGTTCCCAGGTTGGGCAGCATGTTGCCTGGTTGGGGTAGAGTGTTTACTAGTATATGGTAAATTTCTGATCGAACCTCTTTATGAAACTCATTCATGCATATGTAAAAAATATGAAAAAATATCAGATTTTCTAAGATCTTTTCTTGCAAGCTATTAAAGAAAACAAGATGAAAATGAATATTTACTAAATCACAGCCTGTTAATTACGGTACAATCCATTCAATTTTTCTTCTTCCACCGTATCTAACCCCCCCCCTGAAGGTTGAACGAAGGCCATCCCATCATTGGTCCAGTCGTTCTATTATAGGAGGATGCCGGAGTATACTTTATTAAAACTAACTGGAAACACTCATTCCCACATGTATGGACTATAGAACTGTATATTAGCGTTACAAGAATTGAACGGTGACCACAGTGGTAAGAGTAAGGTGTACCAATTAACCTTTAGAGCTTTTCATGGTACGAGATCAAACTAGTTGAAGAAAATTCTTAAATTTCCAGAAAAGACTCTTATAGTATACCTATAGCTGTATCAAACAGTTACAACTCATATTGTCATAGTTTCACCTAAAACAAATTTGGTCATTTCTTCGAGTTTAAAATGGTAAAAACATTGTTTGTTGTCCAACTTTCGTAATTCTTTCACCCACTGAAGACTGTCCGTGAAAATCACACAAGCCTCTCTGTCTTTTACGCATCCATTGTTCATGTCATTGAGTTTCGCTTTTTGAATCAGGACTTTCATCATAGCTAAGCCAAATACTGTTATATATAGGTTATAATAAACCGAATCCTGTTGTAAGGTGCTATTATAGTTCATTACTTGAGTTTTAACAAATTTTCCTAGTTGATCAAGAAGTTCAGGAATCGCATCAATTATGCCATGACTATTCTTTTTTTCGATCCAAATGTAAAATTCATTGAAAACAATTTCCGCCAACATACAATCTTCACGATAAGTGTTCACAGGTCCTTTTTCAAATAGTTTGTCGACATTTCTCATATCGTCGTAAGCAGTGTCCTGGGAAGTTTCAGAACTAACATCAGTATTGTCCAGTAGATCAAGTAACCACTGCAAGGTCATGCTGGGATGCTTTAACCAAAATAATTCCAGCGGTGTTCTGACTGCATGTTTCAAAGCCAAGGAACTATGGACACTGTAGTTCCTTGAGTGACCTATTGTAAACGTTGATATGTATAGGTAATAGCATGGTTTCGAGTACAATTTGGATATAACATGCACGAGTGAGTTTTTCAAAGACCTCAAAATAGCACGAGTCCGAAGGACGAGTGCTATTTGAGGTCTTTGAAAAACTCACGAGTGCATGTTTATCCAAATTTCACGAGAAACCATGCTATTACTTATTAATAATTTACATAAAAATGTTCGAGACAATTGTAGTTTTAACTTACGCGTTAAGCGAACATTCCACCGGCAAACTTTTCCTGGCTTTGTTATATCACATTATACAACGCTAACAGCTTGAAAATTCCACTCAACCATGTAATTTTTGTTAGTCTTGTTTAAGGTAAATGCTTTTCGATTTAAAAATAAAGATAAAAGCCATATTTTCCACGCGAAGGCAACTTTTACTTT